CACACACTGTTTACGGAGTTATTTACAGAGATTGCACGTCACCAAGACACCACCGGACAATTTTAACCTAGAGGGGAGGAAGGGGAGACTGAGGTGTGAGCATACAGCACCACACAGCAGTGTTTATATATATTTACCGGCAGTCGAGTTTGCCTGGTACCTGCTTTTTTAAATGCAATGAAACCCTAAGAAGCTGCACGCTAAGAAACAGCCGGCCCAAACTGCCCTGAAATCACACTGTGCCTTTGCAAACATGAATAAAATTTAAGAGCCTGAGGAGGAGTAACAGTGTCACCTTGGTGACGGCCCTATTTGCTTGGTTTGCGGTACAGTATCCGAGGTGGGGTGCTGGCCGGGGGGTGCTGGCCGGGTGTCCAAGAAGAGCACCAGCCTGCTGGGGGAGGAGAGACGCTACATACAAGCTGAGGAGGTGCTCACAGGAGGTGCTCGGAGGCCAGAGGGCATGTCCAGTCTGATCCCAAAAGCCAGAGGAGACGTACAAGCCAGGGGGGCCCAGTTTGGGAGAGGAGCACATTCCCAGGGGCTGTCCTGCACACATAATCTGCTTTTAATGAGGTCGGCTGCCAGTGGTATGTAAACGCTACACAAGGCGCGGAGGAAGGGAACACGCACGTGGCGTGCGAGAGTGCAGCCTCTGTGTGACTGAATCAGGATGGCACCGCTGAGCGCTGCTCCATCTCTCAGACTCTGAGCCTGAATTACAGAACTGCAAGCTTCCATCGGAACGTAAATGTACTGATGTGTAATCAACATAGCACTTTTTTACGCTTAAAACCAAGATGGCCGGCAGGCAGCTCTACAGGTCGGACACCAGTGGCTGTGGGCAGAAGGTCACCGCTTTGAATCCCATGGCTGGCAGAGTGAGTATTTCGCCGCTGGGCCCTTAACCCTGGAGGAGCGGATGCCCGACCTCTCACCTGCATGACTCACAGCGGGAGGCGCGCAAATGAAGGAAATAAACAACACACAAAACGTCTCTAATGATTGGACAGCACTGCCTAAAACAATAACATCAAACCGAGAACAATACTAAGACGAAAAATCCAACTACAGCTTGGCAGCTAATTAAATAAGAGCCTGGCACATTGTCACAACCGCCTCCCAGCCGGCTTATTACGCAATCTCCGCCAAGTACGGCTGCCAGGCAGGAACCGAGACGACGCGGAATGGACCGTGTGGAGCGACCCTGCCGCCGCCGACATGGTTTCTTATGTAACCCCTGGTGGGAGGAGCTGGAGCCCACAGGCTGCTGTGACTGTGGCGCTGTTTCGTACCAGTTTATACAGCCGTAGGGAGGGAAGGCAGTCACTGTACACAAGGATCCTCTGGCGACAAAAACGAGAACGTGGCCCAAGTTTTACAATCCAGACCCAGAATGGCACTAAATTCAGTCACCTGGCGAACAGCGGGATTTCACAGCAGCGGCTGCGGTGAATCCTCACACCCTAGTGGGAGGGCCATCCAGCAGCGGCGTGCTCTGCTTAATCATCACTGGCCAGAGCGGACTAAAGCACCAGTGAACAGATTAAGATAAAATAATGATGAATGGGATTACAAATCATCTAAAGTGTGTGTCACGGGAAGCACGCAGAGACCCATGTATCCAACATGCCTGCACCAGGATAGGCAGCGGGAGAGTCGGTTCTGCCAGACAGTCAGGGCGTCACTCTAACTGAAAGGAGCCAGACGGGTGTGTTCTGCAAATGGCAATCACAGCAGTGACAGCCCCTCCCTCTCACATCACTGCATTCCTCTCACACGTAAACGCGCCGGAGACAAGAGTTGAAAGTGTCATCACCACATAAACCCAGTCACTGGGATCGGTGAGACAAACCTCAAATCCAGTAAATCCCACTAGCGAGATCCGGCTAAGATGGAGGGATCACCTTGGAACGACTGCCTATGTCATACTGTGAAACCCGCTTTAAGGGAACAGAAAATACAAAGCAACTGGATTCATTACAAAACCAGCAAGAGATCAACTGAAATCTCAGGCCAGCATTTCACTGCAGAAGTATTTTTATGATAATCGTATTCAGCAAAGCTGTGCGTCACAAGGACCTCCATAAAAACACTGGAAACGAAAACAAGCGAACAGCTGGTAATGAGGAAAAAGGCAGCTCGCGGAGAGCTGTGTGGGAGCACATGAACCAAGTGACCCAGTACAAGCCACGCCCCAAACACTTGAATGACCCAGTACAGGCCACGCCCCAAACACTCAAATGACCAGGTACAAGCCACGCCCCATTCGTGCATAGCCCCTCACACAAAATCTCAGCCCTGTCCCCAGCCTTGGGGACCCTACAGATCACGGCATTCTGCTCCATGATTATGTATGCCCCTGCTTATAAACATCAACCAATTATATGCCATTCTCGGGATGCTAAAAAAACAATTTCAGAATGTATAATGCTCTACCAACCACCACCCCAGGCACACTGCCTTCCTCCATGCTTTCATCTGCTAATTCAGGGCTGCTCTCGCAAGTCCAAAACACTCCTGTTGTCAAGCAGCACGACAGGCAGGTTTAGTACTAGGTTTCCCATCACTGAACATCCAGAGGACATCTAAAGCACTTTTTATGGACATTTTCTCCCCCATTAAACCTTCACACAAACTTTCTGACAATACGAAAATAATGAGTGAGCAAACTTCCCGTAAAGAAAGCCATAAAATGTCTCTGGGTTGCTGACACAATCAAATCATGTTCTACAGCCATCGTTACAGTTACAGGCCTCTCTGAGTACAGGAAATCCCCACAGATGCCAGAAACATCTTTTCTATTTGGGAGGGACTTTAATTAGAATAACTAAGATCTCCAATCATCCTGGTGCTCTCAGGTGTGTTACAGCCACATATGACTGTACTACATGCATCACTTCCAGTCTCCTGCCTGTGTTACACAGTGTCCGAAGCACACTGTTCAACCCTCACTTTATACTATACACCATGTGAATTTGTGTATTTGAGTTCTTGCAGCAGGGACAACCCGAAAGTTAGAGATCCAGTACTTGCAAACCCATAGCGGTTGCACAAGGAACTAACCGTGAGCTCCACTGAGAAGAAAGGAGATGGAGACAGAGCCAGCCCTCATTGTCCTGCTCGACCTTTTGGATGGTACTGGGTTACGTCACAAGTGTAACATTAACTGCTGTAACACGACACACTTGTAGAAACTGCACTTTGGGTGCGCATGGTCATAATTTGTTCTGTACGTAATTAAATAATTGCTGTATAGCAATAAAATAACTGCTTGACATTGACAGCAGTTTATTTTTCCAATGAATAAACTGGGTCCCTATTAGGTAACAGGACAAACAGCATGGAATCTAAATTTACAGAAGCATTTACAAGCTAGTTTCACAGTTTTGCAACATGCAGCTAAAGCAAATTCAGTAAATGCACATCAGTTTTTCCCTGCAGTCCTGCTTATATTTTTTAACTTTGCATGTGGGAATAAAAAACAAAGAACACTGCCCCACAGTTGTTACACAGCTCACTCATACCACTACATAACAATCTGAGGTATAAACTGTTCTTTCGGTTCGATTTAGGATTAAATTAAATGAGAATTATTAAATTCAACTCAATGTAAACTGGCAGTTTAAAGAATGCATTTTGCAACGAGCCATATTACAAAACAAAGACATTTAACAGCTAACAACCTAACTTTACAATGTGTCAATAAAGTTAATTACGCAACAATTAATTTGTTGTCTCGTTCAAGTCTCAAATTTCAACAGACAAATCTTTTCTGTAATCTTGATGCTTGAGGTGACGTCGGTGTGACATTCCTCAAAATCACAAGTGACATAACAAGGGATGACATCATGACAGGATGTAGGAGCAGTGCAACCCAAGAACCCACTTAACAGACAGAAATATTACACCTACCCATTCAAACACAAGGCAAGAAAATGATGCCTTATATTTAAACTTGCCACAAAGCAGTTCTATATTACTGGTAGGAAGAAATTGTCAGGATGCATGTTTTCTGCAGTAAACTCTGGGAAAGGCATGGTATATTCCCTGGAGATGAACACACAGGAAATAATCCAGAGACTGCTTGGTTCACAAATCTCATATGGCGTACTGAGATTAGAATTAAAACTCAACAAATCATGTCCCACCTATATGAAAATGGATGTTTCTCTCATCCCACCCTGGCGAGTTCGGCGGAAAGAATCGCACTGATTTAATAAACACGAAGCAAAGCAAATAAAAAAAAAACCAAATAATTATTAAAAAGTAACAACAGCCATCATCACCACCACAACACGAAGCAAAACAAAAACAACACCGACGTCAACGCCCATTTCAGACTGAGACGGACCAATCAGTATGGCGCGCGCGCAATGACGCCACTCCCCGCGCTCTCAGCCGTTGGACCGTTAGCTAAGCAGCTAGCTTAGCAAAACACATCTACATCGAACCGGCGGTGGCCGAATAGAGACCCTGTGCCCTTACATCATCTCCCGTAGTTGCGGCACCGGGTATCCTGATTATACTCCCGGTGTCAGTCGGCTGAGAGCGGGCGGGTCCTGCTGTGTTAACGCGTTAAAACTGCCTACCGGGTGACGGCGGCGCTCCACAGGTCAGGCTGAACGCGCTGCCCAGCTGGACACGCAGCTCCCCCCCCCGAGTCTCGGTTGTATGAGTCAAACTGTCCCACCGAGGCGAATCTCCGGCAGCCGCCCCGGATCGACCGCTCACAGAGAAGGATGAGAGGCTATTCACCTGCTGTGGGCGGCGGCGGAGCGTCCTCTCCCACTGCGCTTCCAGCCCGGGGGACCGCACCAGCTGCTGCATACCCCATCTCTCTCCAACTCCCTTGCACTTCTCTTGATGCAGGGGCGCCGTGTCTTGGGTCGCCTTGCACCGTCCAGCGTACCCCCGCCCCCAGTGAGCCCGCTGCCAGCCTGCCGCCGCTCCAACATGGAGAATCCGGGCGAAGGAGCGAAACACCCGAGGAAATGGGCGGGCCGGTTTCAAGTTCCCCTTACTACAGATAAACAACCCCACTGAACTTACACTTGGGACAAAGAAAACCCCGAACCAATCGCCCTCGTCAAAATCTCAGCCCGAACGAACATATCTCGAACCGAATTCGGATCACGTTAACCAATATTTATCGTATCCCGCGCTTTGTTTTCGCCTTTCGGGGACCTGCGAGGGCGCCTTGAAACCGCCGGTCGTCTCCGATTGGATCTTCGGGAAGTGGGAGTAAGGGAAGCGCGCTCCCGCGCCCTGTGCGCTCGCCCGCGCCTCAGCTCCGCGGAGCTCGCGGTGCTCGTTCGGTCATGGTGGGGATCCGTTTACTGGCGCTGTCACATCAACTCACATGCTGAAATCACAAGTGTGGTTGTTCCGTGTGCAAACTAAGGCGCGTGGCAGAAACGCTGAGTGACAGTGCAAAGCTACTTGGTAGTTTGAAAATTATCCACTGAGCGCACTTCTGACGTCTGTATATACGCTACTTTTATTGCATTTTAATTAACTGGTATTCTCATGAAGCAGAAGTACACTTCACAAAGTCAGCATGTCCCATTTTCTTTAGGAAACCTAAATACTATGACGTAATGTCAGGACTGTGTGTTGCCATACATACTGATCACCATTTTGTGTCTGCCGCAGAGAAGACAAAGGAATAATATATTGTGTTTATTCGATTTCATATATATTTTGTAGTAAATGCGATTTATATTAATATGGGATTGTATTGGTATAAGCTAAATTTAAAATATATTGTCGATTTATATGTCAGATTAATTCCATTCGTTTGTAGAATGTATGTTTTGCAATGAAATACAGAAAATGCAAATAAAATCTGGGTCAAAATATGATGCCATTAGTAAATATATAGTTTAATACAGTAGCCCAATACAAGAATAAGGCTTATTTCGGTGTTTTGACAGCAGTTAGATGTGAGTTCTTTGGGTAGCTGTATTTAACTTGATTTATTCAAAGCGGTTTGATTACTGTGACAGGTATAGGTTGTTGACAGAGGTGCATTTTGAAGGATGAAAACATGTTTATAATGACGCCGCGGGGAGATTTTTTTACCGCTATTCGAGCTCAGTGCAGCTTTTCTGAGTTGCTTTCATTCCGCGCGTGTATCTGTGTGTGTGTGTGTGTGTGTGTGTGTTGGTGGGGGGCTTTCAAGACCACCCTACCGATGTCTAGGACACAAATAATACCAATTAGCTGTAACTGCCTTCTGTAAGACAGCTGGAAGCCACCTGGTTTGCTCATGTCGTTTTCTCCTTTTGGAAAACGCACACCGCCAATTGATCTGCTCTGGCGCTAGCCTTGGAGAGTTGCTAGCGTCCTAGTTAGAAAAATCCCAGTTTGCTACATGTGTGATCAAAATATTATTTATTCATTTGGCTGTTTTTCATGGGGCTTGCATGGATATTATTACCAGCTAGGCTACAATGAAGTAATCTATAAAGGAAAAGACAAATAAAAAATACTATAAGAACAGAAAAACATGTTTTCGTTACACAGTTTACACTCATAACAGTGCCGTGTGGATGACCAAGATCAGCTCTCCAAAGAGTGAAAGAGAAGCTGGTTTAAGCTGTTAGACGCCGATTGCAGCTTGCTGGAGACGGGCTTTTGAACCTGTTCGTGATGAGCAGATGGGTTTGCAGTAACGTCTGTTTTGTGCAAATGAAGTGAAGCTTCGCTTCAGCCCATGTATGTATACGACTCCTTACAGGGGAAAGGAAGCGAGGAACGAGCGGCGGGGATCCGCTCTCTACCATCCGGTCAGCAGTATCGACTGGCTGCCGGAGCGGAATTCACGGAGAGCCCTATATGACACTGACATGATTGACCCCCACGCCTGCTGAAATGGAAGGCTTGTGGGAAGGCACAGGTTATAGTCACTTATATTTATTGTGTTCAGACGGGGGCGGCACGATTTATCACATCATTCAGTCACTTAGTTCTGTTTTCTATAGAACGTCTGACTAAGCCATAAACAGCGTATGTAACAGTACGTTACAGCCTTTATGCCGAATGGCCGTTCTGCACTGCTTTGCTCCTGTTTTCCGGATCTCCTTCTCCTTGGGGTGGCGGCGCCGCTGAGCCCCTCGGTTAGCTGCTATAACACCCGTACATTACTAGGAATACGTATAAACTGTTTTTCAAAACGAACATGCATGGCTGCCCTCCTGCTCAGCCGAAACCACATGATATGCATCCGAATAAGATGCAAATAAGATACCATTACGCTCTCAATTGATGCGATTAAATGTATTGAAGTAATATGAAGACATATTTAAAATGATTTACAGCTAAGTTTGTATTTACTTTGCATTGAAAAAAAAACACCTGAGATTGACAACTGAAGTTGATCGTAAAACCGTGACGTGGCAAATTATGACATGCGGCTGTAGTGAAGCGGCTATAGAAAAGACTTGTGACGGCTTAATTTATTGTTTTTTGGGAGAATTCCTTCTACATTTTGATCACATTTGGGCGGTTCTTTCCTAGACACGCAAAGCGAATTTCCGATTCGGACTGGGTTTTCATTAAATCACTAGTCTTCAAAATTACAATAAAATCTGTTGTTCCGTCTATCTAGACAAACACTGTGTATGGATGAATTCCAAGGCTAAATTTAAGGCTATTTTATATTTTTAAATGACAATTTTAGGAATAACGACTATTGATCGTATTAGTTATAGGCTACATGTCAATAGACCTAATAAAGATGTGTAAAGTTTAATGTTAATTCAATTTAAATAATAGAATAATGATACTTTATTAATCTCCGTGGGGAAATTCTCTTTTCATCTACCCCATCTTGCTCTCCATGCGACAGATCTATAGGTGAGAGCAAGCTTGGGGGTTACAGCACAGGGTCCGTCAGTGTGCAGCGCCCCTGGAGCTGGGGGTTAAGTGCCTTGCTCAGCGGTCCATGGATGTGTGATTATTCTGCCGAGGGTGGGGTTTGAGCTGGTGACCTCCTGATCACAGGCACAGAGGCTTAACTTGCTGAATCCTCTCCCCACCCACCTATATAATACAATAAAACGAATTGCATAGGTAAATGTAGGACATTTGTAATCATGCATAATCTTTAAAGTGCTTGGGAACTTCTCAGAGGCACATTTAAATTTTATACTTACATATTTTAATATAATGATATTTTTCAATTAAAAACTGCAAATCATAAATATTCACAAGGCAAATGATGTGTTGCCTTTGGGGTATGTAGGGAAGATGTCTGGATGAGAAAGATTAAATTATACACGCAGGAAAATATTGGGTTTGCACAGTTTAAGTTTTAGCAGGATCTTAAAAAAATGGAAACTCATTTTATTAGGATAAATTTGCGCATAAACACATTTGTATGCCTAGTTATGGGAACTTCCATGAACCACCAGTTTCAGACTGATAACAGACGAAATACTTTTGCACTTTGCATGAAGTTGTCTGCAGGGTCTGTTTTTCAGGCCTTTTAAAAGATCTTTGAAAGGGGAAAACAATCTCAGGCAGGGACAGAGAGGAATGTCTTTATCCCCGTGGTTTGCGTAGGACAAGCCTACGGAACCTTGAGATCATGTGACTTCCAGGAAGGAGCGGCCCACCCTCTCGTGTTAAAGCTCCCTTCTGCAGACCGGCCCCACCGTGGCCTCTGCTCCATTGCACTTCCAGGAAAAGGCCCTGCTGGTCAGGCTGTGGGGCCGGCGCAGGGAGAGCCCGGCATTTGGGTAAAAGCACACCATCCCGTCCAGCTTTCATGCTCTCCTCGGAAGAGTCAAAAAGAAAGTTGACTCTTAAAATCGGTCTGTCCAGTCTGCCGACAGACGCAGCACAGCGCAATGCAGACCGTGCACGTTAACGAACGTGAGATCGTGACAATGTGAAAAGAAGCATAAACGCGAACAGTTCCTTAAGTTATATTACAAATGTACATTCCAGCACACTTGTAAGACTGGGGTGAAACTTTTATTAAGCAATTTCTTTGAATCTGGAAAAATCTAGTGTTACTTCTGCTATCTTTTTTAACTTGACGTCAGGAGTTTCAGTTCCGATACCATTTTGCGCGAGTGCCATGCCGCACCTAAGTTTTAACGGCCGAGGGCACCACCTTGTGGCGAGAATTCAAAATGCTCCAGCACCATCAGGTTAATGCTATTCATGCCAAAGGACCTCTTATCAAAGGACGGTTTACTCACATCATCAGCAGAGTTAAAATACAGCGAATTACACAGGCGGAAGCGGCGGTGTGACACTAAGATTCACGATCCAATGGACTTAAATATTCTGGAACATATTCTGTACAAATTTGCTTTTCTAAATTAAATAATGAACTGACTGACTTGATTAAATATTTCAAGCAAAGTTTTAAGGATTACTTGGAAAAACAAATTTGATCTAAATGAGAGTTATGCGATGTACAACTTTTTCTTGTATGTCTACATAAAAATGAAATGTATCAAAAAAACCTAAAATGTACATTTGTGATACCCAGTACTTGAAGTTGGCCGGTACTCATTGGTACACGGTACCAGCACCTCTTCAGAGTACTGGCACCACTCCATATTTTGTTGGTACTGGAATGACAAAGCTAGTACCGACACCTGGTACTGAATGACAAGGGGAGTACCAGCACCCGGTACAGGCTAATAATGGGAGTAACTGCACCTGGCACTGAATAACAAGGGGAGTACTGGCACCTGGTACTGAGTAATAATGGGAGTAACTGCACCTGGTACTGAATGCCAAGAGGAGTACCAGCACCTGTTTTCCCTGCTTCAAGCACCAATTATACCTATTAGTAACATTTTTTGAGTAGAACATGCAGAAATTATAGTCCAAATGTTTAGCAATTCTACTGAAAGGTGTGCATATGGTTTTGTGCCAGTTTCCAGCTACCTGTAACTACAGCTTGCCATTATTATAGTTATTTGAGCACAGAGATCAGTGCCTAACATGTGAAATGGAGCCCACAGGTGGCTCCTTTCATACCTTATATCCGTGTTCCTGCACCCAGTCCACGTTTTTGCTCCAGCCTAGCTCTCAGCACACCTGACAGGTACTTAGTGTTCGTGATTGGATGGGAGCTGGGGGCGGGGGGGAGCAAAAACGTGGACTGTCTGGGGGTCTTTGAGGACTGGGTGGAGGAACACTGCATTACGTGACACGCATGTACAACCAGCAATCCTGAAAAATTAATTTAATGCTCATGAATAATACTGTAAAATATTCATCCTACTTTCATTATTTTACAAAGATCTTTATATTATGAAAAATTAAACATTATAACCAACATGATTCTCAGGACCAGGACAATGGAATTAATATAGCCCATTAGAGCCAT